CCAATTTGGAAATGGAGTCTACTGAATGTGTGAACACAAGTCAATGATGTTAAAAAGGTGTGTTTTAGAGTCATTTTATGGCACTGTGCTGGACTGATTGAATATTGAAGGGAAAAGAAGTGGAAGAAAGATTAAGCAGAGTAATTGCTTTGTGCAGAGATCAGATGTAGTGGTAGAACTGCCAGGAAGGGAAACACCATGGGGAAGGAAGGATGGCAGCATGTATCTGTTGACTGAGCATGGGAAACCCCTGAGTGTGTGAAGGGGAAAGAAGCAGCCCTATAGGAGCTGACTTTGGAGGCAAGACTCAAGAGTTTTGTCTTAGACATGCTGAATTTAAAGTGATAATTCAAGTGAATATGTTTAATCACCAATTGGAGACAGATAAAAACGGTGGAGCAGAATCCTCCTTCTTTCTGTTATTTGAAAACATGCACTTTCCAATGACTACTCATTCTATCAAATTATTCTATAAAGAGTATTCAGCTATAAAAAAAAGATTACTCAGCTATTCTCAAAACCCCTCATTAATGAAAGAGCCTGGGACACCTACTAATGCAAACCTACAATTTACTGAACTTGGACTCTGGTCCTGACTCTGTCTCGAACTATGAGACCTAAAGTAAGGTACCTACCTTTTCTCTCTGGAATAGTTTTCACACCTAGACCAAAGTCTCTTCTAGCTTGAAAGTGCTTTGATTCCATAGTAGGAGGGAGGCTGTCATTATCATGCTGTATCAAGTTCTGCTGATTTGGATCATGATACTCATTTTCTATTCATGCCGCAACAACACATTGCCATATACTTGGCACCTTACCTACAAAAATTTGTTATCTTACAGTCTAGTAGGTCAGAAATCCAAAAAAGGGTCTCATTGGGCTACAATGAGGTGTTATAAATGGGCTGTTTTCTGGAAACTCAGGAACATCCATTGTCTTGTGCTTGACAGCTTCTAGAGGTGGTTGCCCACGTTCCTTAGCTTGTGGTCTTCTTCCTGTCTTCACAGCTAGTATTGGTAGATCTATTTCTTATCAGAGCACTTCATTTGGATCCTCTGTTCTGCCTCCTTCTCCCATTTTTTAACAACTCTTGTGATTAATTGGGCCCACCCACCTGGGCAATTCAGGATAACCTACCCATCTCCAGGTCTTTATGTTAACTACGTCTGCAAAGTCCTTTTGCCATGTAGGGTGACATACACATTCAGAGGTTCCAGGAATTGGAATGTGGGTATCCTTGTGTAGGGCATTATATTGCCCACCATGATACCTTTTCCTGAGAAAATAGGAAACCATCTTACCCTTTTTTCCATTCCTTGTACTTCACATAATATTGAAAATTTATCTAAACTTTTTACTGTGCAATATGCATATATTTGAGTAAAATTTTGATTTCCTGGGTTAAAATATGGCAGTGATTGTCACTGAACCACATGTTGAATGATTCTTAAAAATAATCCAATTTTACCATTCAACATGTATAAAATTTAGCAAACATGCATATTTAAATTTAACATGAAAAACTACATTTTCTTAAAATAGGAAGAGGATATGATTGTATTTATTTTTATAAGGAAATAATGTATTTCATTATAAATAGTAAAGAGTGAAAGATTGAGGTCAAATACAGCATTTCATTTTTTAAAGTCTTTCATTAAAATGATATCCTTTCAGTTTTGTCTAATCATAGGCGAACTCTTTACCTCATCTCTGAGTTTGCCTTGACAAAAAGGATAATTTGTTCAGTGGTGTTTAATTTTTATCTGTAAACAATGACTTAAAGCAGTAACTATATTTGACAGGGTTGTGAGGGTTTGTTAACTGGATTTGTGAAGAGAGGTTCTTTATAGGACAGTCATTATTCTTTTTTTTTTTTTAACTATTCCTTTGTAACATGTTTATTTCAAATGGACATATGTTGTATTAGTAGAAACAACAGATAATGCCAGAAGTGGAAATGAAAATTTAAAAGAGCATCCACTAGTAAGATATTAGAGAACTTTGCTCATGCAAACATTATTGAGAATGAAAACTCTAGGTGGAAAAGTATATTAACAAGGGAGTAATATCAAGTCCTTTATTCTCAGTAAAATTTCCAAGAAACAACCCCCTGTCTGCCAAACATTGTATCACAGATAGAAATTATTAATTTAGAGAATAACCATCAAAATTTTATCTTCATTACAACTGATAATGGCTTTTTGCAAAAATAAAGTCCTAGAAAAGCTAAACAAAACTTTCATTTTATTCTAATGAACTAAATAATAATCCCCTTTAGAAGGGGAAAGAGAGACACAGACACTTTGCATTCTTGCTTGCAACAAGAGCCAACCTAAACTCTGCCCAGGCAATTTCTTAATGACCCAAGGGAAATGGCTAAAACCACTGTGGAAATACAAAATGCCTTTAATAGTTTCTATTATAAACTTTTCACCTCATGGAGAAACAGGACAAAGCAAATTGGATAACACTATGGCCCACTTGCATCCTGAGTTTATGTCTGTTTCTTTCTCCAACCTCCTGCTCTTAGCTTATGGATCTATTATTTGCTCTGGTTTCTTAAATAGGAGATAAATAAAATTGATGTGGCATGATATATTTTCACTAGTCTTTTAGTTCTAGCTAAGATGCTACAGAAGAGCCAAGAAGAGCTGCTTAGAAGAGAGGGCTGTCTACTAAATGGAAAGGGAAAAGACTATGTTTACCTTTGATTGTGTTATTAGTTCTCCAACCATAATTTCAACACTTAACTATTATAATCTAGTTAAGTAATTAATATTATCTCATCTGGAATGGATTTAAAATATTATATATAATATGTGTATCATTAGAAGGATACTTATGCATTCCTTTTACTCTTGGACACTAGGACTTTTTGTTGATAGCTCATGCTTTAACATTTTATGTTCTATTTATTGTTTATACTACATTGTTTTCCCAATATGCTAAGCACATTCTTGACTTTCTGCTTTCAAGTCGTTCATCCTTTTTGAAGTATCCTTTTGCTTCCTCTACAGGCAGCCATATCTGAGTCATTTTTCCAGACCTAGCTCATCCTTTTCTTATATTGTGAAATCTTGCTAACTATTCAGCCTATGCTAGTGTCTCTTTTCTCTGCGATCATATATAACTTATCACTGAGTTAAACCATATGTTTCTAGTTATTTTTTATGTTTATTCCTTGTCTTTTCAATTTGATGCTAAAAAGATTCTAAAAGGCAAGGATTGTTTGCTGCATGTTTTGTATCCTTGGCACTTTGCCTAATGTCATGCAGATTTTAGAATACTTATAATTTGTCAGAACTCTTGGTTGCAAGTTAAGAAACCCAACTTACACACTGACTGAGTCATGAAGAAGGCCAGGGATGGATTTGGCTGAATATTTAATCATTAACTAGATCTGGTTCTCAAATTTATTAGCAAGAATCTGACCTTTTAATATAGTGTCTTTGTTTTTCTTGTCTTGGCTTCATTTTCAGGTAGGAGCTCCCTAAATTGTGCCTTCTGGAACTAGAGAGAGTTTCCTTCTCTTAGTAGATCCAGAAAAAGGTCTGGGACTGATGCCCATTGGCTCTGTTGGATTACATCAGGTCATGTGATCACTCCAGACTAATCACAGTTGTCGGAAGGAAGTGGTTGGATCATTGCCTGAGCATGAATCATGTGGTCTATCTTGAGCTGACAGTGGGATCAGTGGACCTCTCATTCCACAAAATATTCAGTGAAATTGGAAGGAGCAGTTCCCCAAAGGAAAAAGTAGGCTTTTGTGCCAGGCAGAACCAAGATGCTTACTGGGGGTCCAGGAAATGTTTGCTGATTGACCAACTGTACATCTCTGTAGGAGAAACTCAGGATTATAGATAATTCCATATTTTTTCCTTCATCTACAGTACTTCATAGCACTTCACAGTATGACCTATATCTTTGCCTCCCCATTGAAAGTTCACCAGTGTTAGAAGGCTGTTACTCTCTCAAGAGTGGATTATAGTGGTATGTAAGTAGTTAGACCTCTCCATGGGATCTCAAAAGTTCTTCTGTGAAAGAGAGAACAGGGGAGTAATCAAATCTGTCATTGTGGTTTGTGATCATGTTGGCCAACTGGTTTCATGGTAAAACTAAGTAGTATTATTAACCAATTAAACTACTAGTTGTGTGTCTCTGTTTTGGATTTGCTCTATTTTACAGCTATGTTGATTTCAGAAATTGATTATAAAGCATATAAAATGAAAACCCTTTGAGGTTGCAAATATTCCTCTTTCTCTCTTTCTCTTTCTCTCCCTTCCTTCCTTCCTTCCTCTCTTTCTCTCTTTCTCTCTCTTTTTTTTTCTCTGTTTGTGGTCCTGAATGTCAAACCCAGCCTTCTTCATGCTAAGGCTATAACATAAGTATTTGGAATATGGACTCTTAATTGGCCAATAGCATTTTTGCTTACCTATTTTGTGCACTGAGAAGTAAGGTCAGAGATATTTGAAGTGTAAATTTTTAAGTTATGGAGAATTTACTATAAACACTTAAGTTGTGTTTTGAAGAATTTTCTAGGCTCCCAGCTAGTAAAGATCTTAATGGATATTGCAGACAGCAAACAAAGAATATTAGGAAGATAATTTTCATAAGAAATGGATGCTAGATGAGAAAAATGAGATGGCCAGTGGGAAGTTCTCATTGACAGGAGGTGGCTGATTGACAGTTTAACAACTCTGTCAAATAGGAATCAGCTTTGACCTTTTGACCTTCATCCCAAATACTCTATAGTTAATCTGAATATTAATGTTTGGATAAAAACACATACAATCTTTTATCATCTGAATTTTGTTTTGTGTTGAACATACCTTTCTTTGCTAGTTAAGTTTGTGTGTGGGAAAAGAGTTAATCAAGCTTAAATGGAATAGTGTATCCTTGAGGAGTCAGTGTTCTGAAACCTCTGAGAAAGTAATTACTTATTTTAATCAGAAATATTTATTGGCACATCCTTAACTTAGTTTTTAATCTCTACATTTTAGAACTGGATGATAAGCAAAAATCTACAGCTGGTACCTCTCCGAATATTACTTTGTTCTTACAAATGTTTTAACCGGCGTAACCCTAACGTCTTTGGAATTTCTCAAGAATAGAACAGGTGAGATGCTCCTTTAGTGCCTTGATGGCTGTCCATTAGTTCTGCACAGTCAGCTCGTGCCCCCCCACCAGGCCATGCCACGTCTGAGTTCTTTGTCAGTATGTTAAGCAAAGAAAGACAAATAACTCAATTACAGAGATCCTAATTTAAGCATGATAGTCTACCATTAGATTGCTAGGCTCCACTGATGCTGTGTTTTCCTTTGGCTTAAAAAGAAAATAAAAAGTAAGATCTGTGTGCCATGTGGTTTTTCCATCACTTTATGATTACTCTCCTTTTCTAGAAAAGTATTAAGAGAATTTGGTGGGGAAATATGTTTATTTGCATGTTTCACAATTGAAAGAGAATCACTTTTTAATGCTAGTTAGTTGTATTATATTTGTATGATTTTATTTGAGGCACTGCAATCTATTGACTAAGATAAAATCTCCATTCTATTAAAAATGAGTGGAAAGCCAGAAACTCAGTTACGAGTTCCTAACATCACTTTTTACTGTTTTTAAAGAATTTTTTAACCAGGAATTTAGCTTGGTGGTTCCACCGCCTGCCTAGCAAGTGCAAGGTCCCGAGTTTGATCCCCCATACCAAAAAAAAAAATTTTTTTTAGCAAGAAAAACTGACAAGAGCCAGGACAGTTATTGGTGAAATGAAAATTTGACTTATTTTCTTTGAGAGATAACAGAAAACTAGGAAAAGTAGTAATGAAAATATGCCATATACTTTGCAGAGACCAGTGGTTCTGGGGAGTCTGGTTTTGCCCAGCACCATCTTTATCACTTTAGAACTTATTACAAATGCAAATTATCTGGCTATACTCTGGAAGTGCTGAGTCAGACACTTGGAGTGTGGCCCAGAAATCTCTTTTTCAACAAACCCTCTGGGTGATTACCTTGGGTGCTCTAGTTTGAGAACTGCAATTTAGTTTGTTTTGTGTTCAGAAAAGCAAGAAATTTAGCCATAATTTTATGTTTAAACTCCACTGGAAATATATTTCTTCATGTAATTGTTTCTTGGTCCTTCTGGTAGAAAGCAGAGTGGATTCTCTTCTTCCATAGTATTGCATTACCTTCCTAGCTGGCCTCTGAGAGTCCAAGTCAGGACCTATCCTTTCTGCATTAGTTGTGCTTGATTCAGGCCCTGCTCAGAAGAGATGCAGCCTCAAGGTAACTTTCTAAAGTTTCCGTTAATTAAGAATGTGTTCTAAACAAAAAAAACAAAAGAACAAATGAAAGACATTGGAACTCATTAAAAATGACTTATAGAAATAAACTATGTCTCTTTATTGGGGGGAACTGCTCAGTACATTGATTTTGATTAGGGAAATATTTTCCTACAACTTACACTCTTAAACATGTTTCGTTTACTATTTTAATCCCATGACCACAACCAAAATTTATGAGGGCACTGTGGGCCTAAGAGAAAATTTTAAACATTCATTCATCTGTATTCACATATATTCAACAATATTTCAGTAGTTTCTTGAAGTTCAGGTGACACCAGAGAAAATCTTGGCTCTCTTCTACCTTTGTTTTTTTCCCTGTCTCAAAGTACAGTCACCTGGTTTCTGTTCCATAATTCTATAAAAACTGGACTTCCAAAAACCATCAGTGACCTCCTTCCAGTCCACAGCTCCTCATATACCTGGTACTCCTTGCAGGTTTGGGCTCAGTTGACATCTGCCTCTTTGAAAAATATATATCTTTGGTTCATTCTTCTGCTCCATCCTCTGTAGCTTTTTTTGTGGTGTTCTGTGAGATTCTCAACAGAGTTCCATTTTCTCCTCTCTTAGCACTTTCTCTACCAATTTCATTGATCATACCTGCGGTGGCAGCTCCTCAGTGTGTGTTCATTATTTTTTTTTGGTACCAGGGATCGAACTCAGGACCTTGCACTTGTGAGGCAGGCCACGGAACCACTGAGCTAAATCCCCGGCCCTCTACTTTCATTTTTAACCCATGTTTTCAAGCTCCTTGATTTCAGCAATCTAGAACAGAATCTCTTCCACACAAATTATTACTTTTCCATTTATTCATTTATCAAATACAGATTCACTGAAGGGCCACTATCTTCAAGGCAGTGTTCTCTATTCTAAAAATATAACAATGAGCAAGACTAACAGGGCCCCTGCTCTATTAGAGCTGACTTTCTAATGGTGGGGAACAGTAAACAATAGATAAATAATGTGAGTGATAAGTAGTTTGAGGAAAAATAAGATAGGATTAGGAAGACAAAGAATGGTGGTAATATTTTTTATATAGGGTGGTCTAGGTCTAATATAGTAGTATTCGATTAGAGATCTGGAGTTAATAAACAGAAATGAGTAAGTATTTGAAGGCTAGAATCCTGGATGTTACAAAGGAAGCATCAGATAACTGATAGTGTGCTAAAGAAAAATCATGATCTGATGTCAGGAAATTTAATGTTGCTGGATGCACGATCATGTATCAGTGCCACCATGGGAACCACATTAGGGAAGGGTTCATCTGCTTTTGCCAATGGCTACCCCATATTCTGAATCATAATTAAATCAGAAACTTAATTATCTTATTCCATATACAGATGCGTGTACATGTCATGGTGTGGAATCTTCTTGTGAATCTGTAATCTATTTGAAATGCTACTGTTGGGAAACTGATACATTGCCAATATTTTTATTTTCTAACAATTACAACCGACCTTTATCTAGGTGAAGTTAAAGTGACTGGGGCATTAATTTTTTTGAGAATAGTCTAGTTCCAATTTTTCTCATTTGTTTTCTCCCATGGGTGTTCTCTGGAATTTTTCTTTTCACTCACATTTGTCTCAGAGGGAGAATTAAAAAGAAAAACAAAAGTCTGTTTTACTGTTGTTATGATCTGTGTTATGGGTAATACAAACAAAAAACTTATGCTTTTATCACCTGTGTTATGGGCATGTACAAATAAAGAGTTATACTTTTATTGTTACAGGTTAGCTATTGCTGTGATTAGATTTCTCCTACAATCCTAAATCTTCTAGCCCTGGGTGGAATTCTAACACTGTAAAACTCCTTTTCCTATTTGCTGTTGTCATAGAACACAAATGTGCAGGGCCACATACAGATGTCTCTGTTCATGGAGATAAGGCCAAAGACACACGAAGAGCCCATTTAAAAGTCACAAGAAGCACTATTTGCAGAGGACTGCATCATACATAAGGCTGGGGCATGTCTGCCCTGAGAAGCCTCTCTTTTTCTTTCTTTTTTTTTTTTTTCTCTCTCTCTTTTTCTTTCTTTCATTTTTTTTTCTGAGAGATTAAAACTGGACCTCTGAGTCATGGCATGCCAATCTGCAGTTTAAGGAGGATTATGAATAATAAAAACTGGGTTATGAATAATAAAATATTAGCAGAAAGTTGCTCCTAATATCCAGGTAAGAGGCAACTACTACCATGTGATGCAGGGAAACTGTGTGTGTGTGTGTGTGTGTGTGTGTGTGTGTGTGCATTTGCTTGCATGTGCACACTCTTGTACTCTTTCTTGTTTTGATTCTTCTTTATTGCTAGGCAGGAGTTGGAGGTCAGAGAAACAGCTGACACTACTACCATGGCCTTCTTGTAATAAAACTTTCTAGTCATAGTGCTGGGGCTTTGTATTATCTTTTAGAAAATTATGCATATGCAATCTTTATCTCTTACATTGTATAATTTTGTGGTATCACACAAATGACCCAAGATTGTCAAGCTGAGAAATTTTTTGAGGAAGAATTTTAAAGAATTACTCTTTATAAAAAATAAAATTGATCTGAAGTAATTTTGTTCTCTAAATGTATTTTTAAAGTATATGGGCAATAAATAAAGTACCATTTTTTGACACAAATAATTATGAAACTGCTTTCAAGCTCGTCATTTTCAGGGGTTGTTTATTTCAAATAAATTGAAAATGTTATTTGTATTTTCCTTCATATGGGGGTCTGTATTATAAACCAGGATTCTGATACATCGTATTTTAACAGAGATATTTAGAAAAACAGTCTGTTATGAAACAGATATTTTACTGATAACACCTAACTTTTCTTTATGTGAAAAGTCTATTCATTGTTATAAAAATACTTTACACTGTACAGTATTTCTTACAGTAATAAGGATATTCTCATTTACTTGGTACCAAAAGATTTTCAGGAATTCATGTCCCATAATGGTTTCTTTCACTTGAGCATGGCTTGCTGAATTTCAAAAGCACCCAAGGAAATCAAAGTGATTTGATTTGAAAATCAGAGGGCTAGAATGTCTGAGTAGGTGACAGAGGAAACCTAGTGAAAACGTTGCCAGACATCTTAAATCGGCCTATTTTGTGGTGATAGTGTTTGTTGTTGGAACATCCACAGGGCTCTGACAAGCTTATAATATAACTCTGTGAAATTTCAATATAAACAAAATGCTTATTTTTCTAGGGAAAAAAACATTTAGAAAACACCAGTGACTGAATGAAGTGTTCTCTTTGTCTTCTTTTAGTCACATGATTCCAAGAAAGGCAGTGTCGTTTTGAGAGCTGGTGATTATCAACAATTGAAGGCTTTATGATTCAGCCATGATGATACTGCCTAATGTTCATTGGGAGAACTGAAACATACTGCAAATATTTCCAAGTTGGTGCAGAATGCCCTGTGTTCTCAAGGTGCTTCCATGGCCTGGACTGATTATATTTAAATTGTACTTTTTGGGGTATTCTTGTGCCATCCTGACGATGAAGAAGGAACTCTCGAACAGAGGATAATTTATTTCAGCCTAGTTAAGATTCATCAGGTTGGTCCTAGCAATAATGCAAAGGAGCATGAGCCCAGAAGGGAAGAGAACATGTCGTGGAATAAAGGAGTGAAGAAAGGGGCCACTGAAGAGTCTGTAAAGGGACCAGTAGGCAGCTGTCTCCTGAGATTATGTGGGAGAGGGTTTTGTAACCTGTAGTTGTCTCACTTTTCAGATAAATATATTCCTAAAACCTGAAAAGGTAAAGCAACTTGTCAAAACCACACAGTGTAT